AAAAATTCAGACCATTCAGACCTTGTCTACTCCAACCTTCTCACAATGGACTCAGACAACCCTCCCTGGACTGATGGCCAGTGGGCTGTTGATCCTAACATCAGGAAGGGGTTTAATTTGGTCTTGTTCCTTGACTGAGTCAAGGAAGAAATGGAGTTGGTTAATCAGGAACTTGACAGAATGATCAGGGGATTTCAAGTATTGGAACTTGATCCTATCCACAATCATCCTTATCAAAACCAAATCTGAAGAACCATTTGATGTGAACAACTCATTTGCTCTGATTTTGACAACCTTTTCAATGAAAGGTAAACTACACTTGTGTTGATCTGAAATGAAGGTGAACTTGAATGATCATGAGAATTGATGCTGTTGAGGGTACAAGGAGGCCCAAAAAATGCATGCCAAATCCAAAGGTTGTCCGCAAAGTAACCTTCAAGTAACTTTCTTGAGCAGGGTCTGGGTATTCTTTGGGGAGGGTTTATATCTAGCTTAATATAATCCCCTTGACCAGAGGGCTGGGGTCACCTTGCAAAGCAAGCCTCTGAAAGAGGGGCTTATGAGTCATGTCAAAATTTGGCCTGGAAGCTGGCACTTGTTGTGGCTTTTCTGGGATCTTTCACACACAACAGCCCATTACTCCCAGCCCATCCAACTAAATGATCAGAAGTCAAGTTTGTCACATAAGTGAGCATATGACTTTGGTGTCCTTTTTTTGAAATACTTGTTCCTTTGGATAGAAAGTGGGGGACTTTCTCTCTTGAACAAACAAACGGTGGGCAAAAGTCATACCAGGTTCTGTTGGTCTCTTCTTCCTCTCCCTCTCCACCCCATCATTCTGATTCCAGCTTAAAACAACCTTATTGCATATTAGGTGGTACAACACATATTATGAGTTAGCCTGTGAGCCTCTGGTTCATTCTGTACAGGAATTGTGGGTGCCACATCTTGCCACACAGGTAATGCACAGGTAATGCACAGGGATAGATACAGGTAGTTATGTGTCATGCACAGAGTTTCTATATCCATAAATCAATACACACATAGTATGACAGAATACCAATGAGGTTTGATCAAGGAACTTGAGGTCCCTCATCAACCTAATGGAAAAATGACCTTTTTGAAAGGCAGGTGGGGGCTGATGTAAAGGGCCCCTGGCCTTGTTGGTGAGACAAAAAGTTAGATACAATTCAGACCTTTTTCCTGGTCCAAATGGCTGAAAATACTTCCTAGGGGAAGAGGGGGTGGTTGCCTGGCCAATTTTTTCCCTACTAACAACCCTCAGCTTCCAAGCCAAAAATGAGGGCTTTGGTCACAAGTCCCTCCTTCAGAGGCGCAATTCCAAGGGGTGCTTCACACCAGCCTGTCACCAGGCCCTCCAATTGAGGGACTTGTTAAGTTAGAGGCCTTATAGGGATTGATCAGGTTTGTTAGGCTTGGTCAAGCTTGGGCCTCATTGTCCTCTCAGCTCAGCTATGTAAACAGTTCAGCTGGAGGCAGCTACAGTGTGCAACACAAGTTCTTGACCACACCTCTCCTGCAAAAAAAGTCTGACTTTGAGCTGAATGTTCACTTGCAATATCCATGCTACAAACATATGCATCAAAAGATGCTACATCAAATGTGGAACAAGAAAATATGTAGTACATGTCTCTAGGAAGCCTCAAAAGAGTAGTTTAACTAGTTGAAGGAAATTTTTTGCTATCCACTACATATTTTCTTGTTCAGCAGTTGTTGTAGCATCTTTTGATATATATTACTTGTTTGTAGCATGAATACTACAAGTAAAAATTCTGCTCAAAGTTGGACCTTTTTTGCAGGAGAGGTGTGGTCAAGAACATGTGTTGCACACTGTAGCACCTTGGGGCTTATCCCAGAGAAGCATTATCTCACGATGCATGTGCATGGTGAAAAATGAAAACAAATCTGCACTTAAAAAAAGGGACAAAGTTGCCGGAAATCATTCTTGGGACCTTTGGTGTATGTACAGCCCCTTGACAGAAAAAATGGAACCCTTTAATTGGAGTCTAGAGGTTAAACCAATGACATGAAATTTATGCAGTCTGGTGAAACTGTAGAAAATGAGTTCCAAAGAATGATTCTGAAAAGTTGGAGAGAATTTTTTTTTGTAAAATTGTTGTAGAATTTTTCTCATTTTTTACTTTTTTGGGTATTTTTTTGTTGAGATGAACACCCTGGAGACATGTATGTTGGGAAGGATAAGTTCATTTCACCATCACAGAAAATAAGAAGAAAGAGAAAGAGAAAGAACTATATATTGAAAAACAGGTATGATTACTGAAACTAGAACCAGAGCTAAAAAGGCAAACAATGTTAAAAAAGAACAAGAACTATCTTTTCAAAGAACAATTGAAGTTTTTAGGAAATTTAAGTATACCACGATAAGACTTTTTGTTTGAGTTAGACAGAACAAGCAAGCTGAAGCACAATAGATCGAAGAGACTGAAATAGTAGACACTATTTAAAGAGATCAAAGACAAAGAAAGATAAAAGAAAGGTTAGAGTTGATGAGACGAAGAGAACAAGAGATTGAAGTCGATTGTTTTCTCACCAAATTGGCAAGAGCCAGGAGAGTGTATCAATAAAGATAGTTGGAGTGATTAGCAGAGGAGAGTGTTCAGAGTTGAGTCAAAGACAATGTTGATGAGAGCGAGTGATGAGAGATATTGTTGAAAGAAGGTAGAGAAGAAGAGATGAGAAGAAGCGAAGACGGATGGAGACGGTGATGAGCGGAATGTTGAGGGAGGTGCGTGAGGGTATAGTAGTGAGCAGTTGAGATAGATTTGGATGAAGTCGTTGGGGGCAAGTCAGTTTGATCAGTTTGGTGAGGTGGATGTTGTTGATCGATGAGAAGATGATTTTTAGGGAGACTGCTGATTTGGAAAGTGAGGATCGCGGAGAGGAGAGTATTTATATGAGAGAGTATGTATGTCAAGTTGTGGTTGTGAGATAGTAGATGTTATGTTAAGAATGATGATGAGAGAGTATAGGTTTAGAGAAAAGAGAAATGAGAGCGGGAGAGCGAGGAGAGCGAGAGCGTAGAGAGCGAGGAGAGCGGGAAAAAAAGGAGAAGTGAGAGCGGGAGAGCGAGGAGAGTGGAAAAGGAGGATAGAGGAGAAAAAGACAGAAAAAAAAATAGAGAACAGAAATAAGGATTTGAGATGGGATGTAGCTGTGCAATTCCAACACTATACCTGGAGACATGTATGTTGGGAAGGATGAGGAAAAGGAAATCCTCCCTAGAGGTGTCACTTCGAACCCGGGTACCTGCCTCAAAAATTGCTTTTTTTGGCACACCACGCGACCCGCACCCACCAGGTCTGCCAGGGCGGGTACCCGGGTACCTGCGGGTGTGGAGGGGTCTATGAGCCTCATCGACCAGAAGGGATTCCTTCCGCTCGATGAGGCTGTTCCACCTCATCAATTGGAAGGAATACATTCTGGTCGATGAGGTATAACAACCTCATTGATCTGAAGGAAATCCTTCCGATCAATGAGGTAAAGTCTCAATGACCAGAGGAATCCCTCCGGCCATTGAGACAGTGTACAGTCTCGAAGGCCAGAGGGTTCCCTCCGGCCTCAACTGGCCCATGTAGGACACCAACTGGTGTCCTACATGGGTTGCTGACACCCTGGTGCAGCCCAACACACCCAAAACTACATTCCCAGGGCGGATGTCAAGGTGGGTACCCGGGTACCTGCCGTTTTTTGTCCCAAAACTCGACACCCGCACCCAGCACCCGCGGGCGGGTACCCGCTCCGGAGAACAGGTACCCACAAACGGGTACCCATTGCCATCTCTAATCCTCCCAGACACACATGACTCCAGTATATGAACTGAGAGAAAACAACTGGATGCCACAGAGTGTGATATGAGAGAGATGAATGAAATGAAGGAAGAAAGAAGCACACTGACAACTGTGAACATGTAGCAATCAATGACATGTCACATATCTCAACATTTTTCAACCATTTTTCAAAGTATCTCAAAAAATCAAGATCAACACAATTGCATGGAAAAAGAATGATTATAAATGAAAATTTGAAGAAAAATCATCAACAGCTGTTATTCAAGAGGTCTGGAATGTGTCATCCACCAGCCCAACCCTGCAATCAGGCACTGAAATCAGATTTAATTTCAATCTCAGTCCATTTTCTTCTGCTCTCCAAACATGATCATTATTTTTTTCCATTTTTCATTTATAATCATTCTTTTCAGATGTGATTGTTTTGCTCCTGATTTTTGGAGCTACTTTGAAAAATGATTGAAAAATACCAAAAAAGTCCAAAAAATGAGGAAAAATATACAAGTTTTTTACAAATCATTTTTCTATCCAACTTTTCAGATTTTTCTACAGCTTCACCCGGAGGCATAAATTTCAGTCCATTGGTTTAACCTCTAGACCCCAATCAAAGGGTTCCATTTTTTCTGTCAAGGGGCTGTACATACACTTTCAGCATCATGCATAGGAGTCAATGGGCGCCCGAAGCCCGGCTTCCATGGTATACCACATCGGCTTGGGCATCCATATCGATTGGGCGTATCAATGTTTCTTCTTTGCCAATGTGCCATGTGCTCCCCAGCGCCCTGGTCCACTTTTGCTATGTATGAATACACTCCTATCACCGTATAAGGGCGCATATCGACCTGACAGGTCCGCATATCACCCGACCCGGTCCGCCGTGCAGGGTACAGGAATCACGTCGGCTTCATGCCAAAATGATTCTTGAGATGACTTTCGCAGCGCCTGAGAGGCACAATGCACTGTACAGCCTTTTCGATTTCATCTGAATCTCGCCCTCCTCACGTGAGAATACAAAAGTACATGTATCCACCTTTTGTTGGGTACACAAAAGGTGGATACATCCCGGCGAAGGCGTCACTGAACTGGTGAAGTCCATGAACGCACCGGTGTATGGACGGACGAGATCCAAAATGAGCCTGCATGTACATATGCCGGATATCACAAAGCTGAGCAAAGTGCGAAGCGATTTAAGACGGCAGAACGGCATTCTATTCGGTTGCCATCATCCCCCACTCCACAATTGAAACCCAGAAACACTTCGCTCCTTCAAACCCCATTCATTCACCATGTTCTCCGCCAAGCTCTTTACTGCTTTACCTTTAGTTCTTCTGGTGGTGAATGCTGTCGATGCTATCACCCACGGCAAGATGCCAACTAAGCGCTCTCAATGTTCTCAGTGGAGAGCGAGATGGCAAGATCCATCGGGTACCTCCCCGCCAGCCGTTACTGCCAGAGTGGTAGGTCGCACTTCCGCAGGATTGGGAACTTTGAATTGGTCAAATTTGACGTTCAAGCGATGCCTGTTGTCTTTGTGTTGCAGATGACACCGCAGATGGCCGCCAAGACTCAAAAACCACAGTCATCAACTGGAAGTCTCATGCGCCGCAACACCCCCCCTCGAAAGATCGTATGTCACCTCTTCTCTTCCGCCTGTGATCAAAATTATTATGTCGAAACTGATTTGCTGGTTTTTTATTATAAAACATTTTCTAGGGTATGGATATTGCCAGTGGAAAACATTCAGTAAGTAAATGATTACTTGGCTTCGATTCACCCATGAAGCCACACCACTAAAGCTCATTCTTTCACTCCAGATTTGTGACCACAATAATGGTTACAACACCACAGAAGTGGCAGGTGTGTGTCTCTGGACAGGAGAGCGCCAATCACCTGAGTACACAAACAAAAAATTCTACCCGGGTTGGCTTAACTAGTGAGTAGACTATCAGGCGTGGCGTCGTTATCGTAGCGACAAAAAGAATAAAAAACTTACGTTCCGCGATCGCATAGTGAACACCCAGAAAACTGCTACCGAAAAATGTAAGCAATTCTTAGCTTTGGCCCTCGGTTTCATCAAACTCACGCTTTTTTCCCTTCCTACAGTTGGTTAAATCCCGCCAAAAGCAGAGGGGAAGCTAAATATGGCCTTGTCCTCGATGGATGCGCGTTCGTTGAGGAAGGCGAGACGATCAGTGAGGATGACGGGTGCGCGACCGTCTGGGTTACCCGACTCGTGAGTAGCTGCCAAAATCTGCGTGCATAATCTTGAGTCTCACCTTGTTTCGATTGTTGTTAAGCTCTTCGAACAACTTGGTGGGAAAAAAGGCGAACACAACGTTACCATCAGAAGTTGGGATTTGTGAGTTCGATCTCTGCTTTTGCAGTCCTACTAATCTAACACTAATCATGTCACCCAACATCCAGCGAGGCGCATAGTGCTCCGGGGAACTAGAAAAACATTCACTCGGTCCCACCTGTTTCTAGGTGGCGCTTCGCACGAGAAACATTAACGAGAAACATTATCCGTTTTCTCCATAATATATTCTTATCTATCTATTTCATGTGAAACTCACTTTCCCTGGATGCTCAACTTTAATGACCCCACACGGACTCGTCCTGTCAAATCTATAATCGCTAGTGCTACACCACGTGTTTCTAGAGTAGTCATGTTACCTTCTGTATTCTATTCGCTAAGAGTTGTGAACAGTCTTTCTGCACGTTGTCGATACCCCATGCACCATGAAGAGGATTATAAGTTGGAATTTTACTTATCAGAAGGTGTCTTTTGCAAGGTTAATTACCTGAACCATGGCCATAGTTGTGAACTTGTCAACTCAAGTTCATGAATCTCCGGGAACGTTCTTGAGTCACCAGCTATCTTCACGTCAGCTCAACGCAAGCGGGCTCTGCCCGAAATGTACCCTTTATTTTGGGCTCCGAATGACGCGCAAGGTCAACCATTGCGACTGTTTATATAAGATATTTGAGTCTCAAACCTTCTCAGCCCCAAAGTTTTTTTGTATGTAACTTCCTCCATGATCAAACCGGGAAGCCCCCGAAGTCAGAGTCGCATGGATCAGTGTCTCAGTCCGACATGTAAAATCACCGCATGTACTGCAGGTATGATTTTTTCGAATCGTAAAGCTGCAATGTTATTCCTCAATTGCAGTTTAGAGCATGTGTTGTCTTTGACATCAGATGTTGCAGTTCTGATCAATGGATTCTCTGGACCCATTTTGACCTTGGGTGACATACAAAGTGTGAGGCCCGGGGGTAGAAGCAAATCACAATTTAGGTAATTCAAGGAGCAAGCAACTGAGAGTGACAATAGGCACACTCGACTCAGTAGAAAATCAGGTAAAGCGAAAAGGTGAGCTTTTCAAATCAAAAAAGATGAATCTATGCAAGAAAAATAATAAAGGATGTTACCAGTAATCAAGAGTTATCTGCAAAGAATCAGAAATAAGAGAGAGAAAGGAAAAACCAATCCAGCATAATAAGGGATAGAAGACACCTATATATCTAATAGATGATCACTTTCTGAAGACGGGAAACGCGTACAGACATGGTGTGTGAAGTTGAATAGAAATGACAAAACTTACAGAAAAGACAAAACATTACAAATACAAAAACAAACAACTGAGACAAAACACTGATGAGCCGGAAACAATGAAGTAGATGATCTAAAGCACTGCGTTTGCAGGATGGATATTTTTCTGGCAGGGTGCAAGAATTTTGAAAGACGGAGGCAAAAAAAAAAATGAAACCATGCAAATGCAAAAATTATGTAGATGTTGTCAATGCTATCATGATCAAAAGCTCATTCATAATAACCCCGTTGAGATGAAGAGGAAAAACTGGAAGCAGTAGGAGAAGGTTGACCCGATTGTCGAGAATGATTCCTGGACATAGGAGTCAAGAAAGTTGGATTGGACGATAGTAGCGGGGAGGAAGAGACCTTGAATGGATTGCTGCTTAGAGTTGAAGGAGATGCTGGTGGTTTGAATTTACTCTCTTGAGAATGATTCAGATTTGGTGAATTTGAAAATTTCGATGAAGATAGTAATGAATTCCTATGATAATTGATTATCCACAGACGAGGTGATGTAGAATGGGAAGCATAAGATTGATGTGACAAAGTGTAGTAGAATATTCAAGAAAAGGAACAGAGAAAAGAAAGCGATCTCACAATTTCCTTTCAACTACGTTTTCATCCTTCAACTTAGCCATATCCATTTCGATCGTCCTTCGCCTCTCTTTTCGTCGCTTAGCATCATCATCGTCAATAGAAGCTATGAAGCTTTGAGGTACTGGTAGAGGCCTGGGACTTCGGCCATCTGGTGCGACGTTGGAGGACGAAGAGGACGACGACAATATATGATGATGATTACTTTGCCACCCAGGAGTTGAACGGGTGGAACCTCCGAGTAATGGTGACAGACCCGCCGGTTTGGGTTGTGAACGATAACTTAGATTGTTGAAAGTGATGTTCGTGGGATTCCTCGAGGAACTAGAGAAATGGTCAGTATCATCGGTGGATCTGCGATTAGGTGCCATCCGAGTCTTTTGGGGCGGCTCGGAATCAGATTCTGGGGAGATCTTCAATTGTGAAATGATTTCGGTCTGGCTCCTGACACGCTGTATGAACACACATGTAAAAATTAGCGAAACTGATTTACAATCGTCACATTCTTATCCGAGAAACTTACAGCTTGCCACTTAGATAAATCTGTTTTTGCATCACTTAATCGCTTTTCTTGTTGATCAATTATGTGGTATAATCGATTAAGCTCATCTTCAGTCGACTGATGGTAATGATCATGATCGACGCGTTTATTGGAGATAGGCTGAAGAGGACGCGAAGAAATAGAATTCTTGAGATTCTGAAGCTCCGTTTTCAAGTTCCCAATCTCTTGATTCTGGTCGTCAATCGTACTTTGGAGATCAACTATAGTTTCCATACTTTCGGCGGTAGTTTGTTGTCTTTGGCCGTTTGAGACGGTGGTGAGATGTGACTCAAGACCTTTGATGTGCATCTCAAGCTTCGAGTTACTTTCTTCCAGGTGCATAAGCTTTGAGTTATACTCATCATGTAATCTAGAGCTCGTTGCGTCGCATTTCTCCTTCACAATCAAATCGATCTTTTCCAACAACTCTTGTTCTCTCTGTTGCATCTTTCTTATGTCTTCCTGGAATCGTGACGAGAGTCTTTCGACCTTTTCTTGATGTATTTCTTGGTTTGTTCGCTCGATCTTCATTTTCTCTAGTTCGACCTTCAAGTTTTCGGCCTCGCTTCGGAACATATCTAACTTCTTCTCCTGAGCCTCATTCGCCTCCCTCAACTCCTTGAGATCCGCTTGGCCCTCAGCTTGTTTGACTTTCGACTCCCATTCATTGATTATAGACTTGACGTTTTCTTCCGCTTGAATGGCTTGATCGTTCAATAATAATTCCACTCTTTCTGCTTGAGCCTGAGCTTGATCGCGCTCTTGGATCAATTGCATCACTTCCAGCTCTTTCTCCTGAGATTTATTGCGCTCTACAGATAGCCGTTGCTCTATTTTTTCAAGCTTTGTAGTCAAAGTAGACGTATCTCTCTGCAGAGTAGAAAGGGAGGTAAGTTCGTCCTGCAAGTTTTTGACCTTTTCGCTATCTGACAGTCTAGCCTTCTTCTCATCTTCCAAAGAGGCTTTCAATTCTGACATTTCGGCTTCCAGGGTCTTGACCTGCTCCGTGTTATCGGCTTCAACCTTCTCGGCATTTGCTTCGGTCGCGCCTTTTCCAGCCACCAATGCTTCAACCTGCGCCCGTAGCTCTGACAGCTCGGTTTCCAGCGCAGAAATGCGGCCTTGGAGAGCCTGAACCAATTGTTCTTTCTCGTCTTTCACAAGCGTCAGATTGCCAATTTGTTGTTGAGCTTCACTCAACTCGGTCTCCAGTTCCACAATACGGTCGATCTCAACTTGATTGGGTTCGTCTTTTGAGGCATGTTCAGCAATCAACTCTTCGATCTTGGCTTTCGCTTCGCAACGCTCGGCCTCTAACTTTTCGATTTGCTCTTTGTGCGACGAAATTTGTTCCTCCTTGTCTTTGCTGAGAGACTCGATGTCGCTTTCGAACGTAGTCTTCAGTTTCTTTATCTGTTCTTCCGCTTGAGAGCGTTCCAACCGGAGTTCTTCGATTTGCTTCTCCTGGGCCAACGTCCGATCTGATTTCTCTTGCAATGAAGATTCCAGTTCTCCGAGCCTCACATCAGCATCTACACGTCCAGCTCGTAGCTGATCCATCTCTTCCTGCTGGGCTGAAAGTTGATCTTCTTTTTCTTTCCGCAGAGATTCCAATTCTGCTTGGAGCGTAGACTTCAGGGTTTCGTATTTGGCCTCCGCATCCGAGCATGCGACCTCCAGCTTTGCAATCTGCTGTTGAGATGCAACATAGTCTTCATTTTCCGGTCCGATGGAATGTGTTGACACTGAAGTCTTTTGAGATTGAAACTCTTCGAGCTTTCCCCGCGTGGAGGACAGATCAAGTTGTAAAGCAGCAATCGTTTCGTTTTGGGTGGACAGGTCGCTTTCATATTTTTCGCGTAGAGAATTCACCTCGGTTTCGAGCCGAGACTGTAGTTCTGCTGCTTGTGCCACAGTGTTGATTTTCTCGGTTTCCAACTGCGCAATCTGTTCTTTGTGAGTGGAGATGGTTTCCTCGTTATCCTTTCGCAAACGAGCCGACTCATCTTCGAGTTGCGATCGGAGTTCTTCGACTTGTCTCTGGGCTTCGGATTTCTCATTTTCTAACTTCGAGATCAGGTCTTGGTTTTCTTGCTGCTGCTGCTGTTGGGCAGTACTCAAATCCTCTTTCTCTTTTCGCAAGGTCGTCAATTCGGATGTGAGTTGAGAATGAATATCATCAGCTTGCCGTTGGATTTCTGCCTTTTCGTTTTGAAGGTTAGAAACTTGCTCTCGCTGCTTCGACATCAATTCATCGTTTTCTTGTTTTAAGGAACTTGAATTGATTTCCAGCTGGGATTGGAGTTGATCGAGTTTGCCTTCAAGATCAGATTTCTCATTTTCGAGCCGTGCGATTTGTTCATGCTGCGCCGAATTTGATTCCTCTTTTTCTGTGCGTAGGGCGCTTACTTCGGATTCAAGTTTTAGAATTAGATCTCGCATCTCGCAAGCACGTGAATCCGCTTCTTCTTTCCCCGTCTTCATGGAGCTCAGTTCGGTCTCAAGAGTTGAAGTTTTCGATTGGCTTTCTTGAAGTGAATCGGTGTGAGTCGATTTGAGTTGGTCGTATTCACTTTGCAAGCTCTCAAGTTGTTTCTCAAGATTCTGCGATTGGGCGCCTGCTATACTGGCCGTCAGCTCCTTGATCCGTGCTTCATGTGCTTCGAGTTGGGTTTTAAGAGCAGCCGTCTCATGCTCCGCTTCAGACAGCTTCGATCGACTGGACTCTTCTTGTTCACTGTAGGCTTTCTTCAGGCGATCCTCTTGTTCCTGGAAACTACTGGCCAATTGAATTTTCAACTCCTCGAGCTCAGTCTCCTTAGCTTGCTCTAAGGCGGTAATGGCGAGTTTTAGATCAACGATTTCCGCCTTGTTTGAATCGATGGTTTGTCGGTGTTCAAATCTCATCGTCTCGATTTCATCTTCCAGATTTTTAATCTTCATGGCCTGTTCGTTCTCTTCAGCCATCCCCACAGGAAGATTTTCTTTGTCACCTTCGAAGGCTTGAATTTGCTCTTTCAATAATTCAAGTCCAGACGGAGAAAGCTGTTCCGGGGACCGCGATTTCTCTTGCTTCAAACTGTCGAGCTCATGACGAAGATTTTCCAACTCCTTTTCTAACTGAAGCTCACGTTGAAACTGAGCTCGATTGTCTTCGCTTATCTTGGAACCATTAGGTAAGTACCCAGTGGCAGAAGCGCTGAGACCGATGCCCATCATTCCCAGCATCCCTCCAACGTCGGTCACTCGACCTCGATTCTTCTTTGGAGGTTTGAGTAGTTGGCCACTGACTATACGCCTTCTAGAAGGAGATACGGAGGACGCCTGCAGGCTGTTGGCACGACGAACATTTGATTCAATCGTATGTGATGTCAAAATGCGCCGATTGAGATGTTCGATTTGTTCTTGAAGTCGGATCCGTTCGAATCTCAGACCCATCAACTCGGACTCGGCTTTGGACTTTTCGGCATTCAATTCTGCCAAAGCTGGCACGGATGTTGTAGTAATAGAGAGCGCTTGGGAGTTTTGCTGAAGTTGAGACTTAAGGGACATAATTTCGCGCTGATAAGCTTGAAGGAGTGCAGACTTGTCATCGATTATCTGGAAAGATAAATCACGGGTCAGGTCAATTCTACGTTCTTGTGAAGCATATCGATAAAGAAATTTAAGACTTGCCGTTCCACGCTCAGCCTTCGTGACGACCATCTTGGCGCGACGAGCAAACCTAAACGCGTCAAAAAAGCAGCAAAGTGTCCATCAGTGCCGAGAATACATATTTCACAACGAAAAAGGTGGAACTAACCGCAATGTGCTCAAGGTTTCAACAACACTCCGCGCGTCAGCAGAAATCGCGCAAATCACAACCACCTTGGCGTTACCGCTGAGACTTGTTTGGAGCAGCCTAGTTAGTTTACTATCGCGATAAGGTACATGAGCTTCGCGCCTTGAAAGCTTAGATATCACGTTCGATAGAGCAAGTAAGGACTTGTTGATGAATGCGCCTTCTTTTCTCCGTTCGGTTGACGAGGCAGCGGATTCAGAACCAGCAAGATCGATTAGATTCAAATGGGAAATTTGTGTGGGGCTTGTGTCGGCCGCTGAGACTGAGGATTTAGAGCGGGATTCGATAGTCTGTGTAAATGATTAGGGATCAGGAATCGATCATGGGTAATTACTTGGAAGGTATGTAAAGGCAAAAGAATGGGAGGGATGATTGACCATGGTGAAGACTGTGTGACTCCTGGAGCTACGTTCGTTCCAATCAGTGGCGCCAAAATGTCTAGCCTTCTCGCCTCTGGTCAGCGCTTCGAGGACTTGCATCGGATGAGTAACCACTTCTTCCTTGATACCGTTGACATGTACCCGACCCTTGTTGTTCTCGTGAATGGTCAGGCGGCTGGTGGTACCTGAGGATTGATCGGCAGCCAGTAAATCTTTGAGGGCTTCGTTATAGATTTCCAGATACGAGACCCTTAGCAAATATTCCCGTTCCAGATCAGAAGCGATGAACGCAAAGACTTCAGCTACGGCCCTTGGGATCACACCCAGTGTTTCATCATCGCCATCATCATTCGAACCGAGCATGGTAAATGTTTTCCCACTTCCGGTTTGACCGTACGCGAAGACGGTTGCGTTATAGCCATCCTTGATACAGCTCTCGACGACAGAGTGGACGCTAGATCGATAGAGGTCGCCGGTGTTTGAATAAGGGTCAAAGATTTGGTCCAACTTGAACTCGTAGCCTTCGGATCCATTGATGGATTCAGATGTTCCAGTACCCCTGCGATCGATGATCGGGTGAGAGGGAGAGAGGGAAATGGAGGATTGAAGACGATCGATACACCATGCCCCGAATCGGTTAGGGTTTTCCTTGTGGGACGACTGACGATGCTGAGGGGTAGGAGTATCCAGATCAATATCGGATAGAGGGCTCGAAGGTATTGGCCGTATCCTGTTGGAAGATGATAATGGGTGAGTGATACTATTGACTGCCGCCGCCCTCCTCCTCCTTTTTTATGTGATGATAGAGATACTGACCTGACACAAACCGAGACGTTTTCGGTTTGATTGACAGATTGGTTATCAGAACCATTTGATTCACGAGTTCGTTGGGCTTGCTGAGACGGATGGCCTTGAGACTGTTCTCTGGATCGTGGGGGCTGGACTTGCGAAGGTTCCCTGGAGCGCATGATTGTGTGGTGAAATGGAAGAGATGATTGAATTTGCCGGGTATTTGGTGGATCGGGTTGGGGCTGATGCTGTTTTACTATTTTACTGTGTATGTATCCCCAGCTGCGAGATTGTTCTTGGTGAAGAATTGTGATGGAATTTTGGATTAGATGTTGTGCAAATCCGTCCCGGAAGGGTTAGATGGTGTTAGTAACTCGTATGTATCCTCAGAGTGTGTTAGTCAGTAAATAAATAGGTAGAAATGCTTACAAGATAAATAAATAAGTTATGGGTCCTTACTGGTTCATGGTGGATGTTCTTGCTTGGCTTGGGAAGACAATCTTGGCAGAAACGCGGAGCTAGAACAACTCAGCACGGGGGGTGGCCCCTCGGGTCCCCGAAAGCGCCATCAGTCATCACTACAATCAGATTGTACGCTCAGGCCCTGTCACTTCCACCTACTCCAAGGTCTCCTTCATCCTCACACGGCTTGTGGCTTCCACATCACCAGGTCGGCTGCTCCCGACTCTCCGCCGTCTGCCAACTGGCGGTAAACGTCGCCGGATCACTCTTCATCAACAGCCATTCCGACGCGTCGTAGTCTTTGAGGATTGAATGGGATACATCCTGAAATATCGCAATCACTCAGAGACATCAAACTGTTTTTCAGGACTGGCATACATCAAACCCGAACTAAACGCGTAATTTGACTCTCCCTCAAAGCAGTCCCATCCTCAGGTATCGAGAAAAATATGGACGCGTCAAGCTCTAGTTCACAAACGTACGCTTCATCCCTACGCGTAAGATGTGACGCACTTCCATTGTATCTTTTAACTTGCTAGACACCATGATATATATTCAATTGGATGCTGCAAAGAGTCTGGCTGGCGGCCGCTCTAAAGCAGCGTCTTTTACCGCTTTGTCTGACTGATTATTACGTACTGTCAAAGTCTCAGTAAAGCTCTTCCTTCCTGAAGATTATTTTTTTGATTTGTCATCTAGCTTTATATAGCTACGCTCGTGAAGAACATTGGCCGTCTCTCTGAATATATGTATGAAGATCATATCCTTTGCATCTTAGTATTGAAGATCAAGCAAATAGAAAGCTGATGGAAAGGTGAAAGGCTAAACATGGAATTTCGGAAAAGAAATGAGAAGACGACAAGTAACTAAAGGAACCTATTTCCATCGCAATCAGCGACGCCTTTCCCTTCGAGCATATAACTCCTTCACCAGCCAATCTTGGGCGAACTGGTTCGCCAGTTCCATTACTCGCAATGTAGAGTCAATCTCAATGTGATCTCTTTCATTGATGCCAGATCTGCACTTGTTTTCGATGAAACTGCACAGTTGTGCCACACGCACAACTGCCAATGAGGACGCCTGATTGATCAAACAATGCAATCAGCCAATCAAATAACCTTTTGTTTCCTTGTACCATAACTGTTGAGATTTTTCTTACCAAGCTTCGGAGTTCGAACGCTTCTTGTTCTAGCTTGTGATAATCGCCGCTGCGTCTTTCAATCCCGATTTGAAAGAGTAGACAGTTTGGTGTCGTAACGATAATCAGAAATTGAGATCAATGATGATAAAAGAAATCAAAGCAAGATCTTAAGTAAAACTTACAAATCATCCATCATGGCATATATACACTTTACCGATGGGTAAAAATAGTTTGATATGCGGTCGTCCAGGAAAGGCTGTTCATCTTTTTCATCGAGCCTGACAAGCTCAGCAAATAAATGCAAGTCGATGATCTACAAAAGTTGATAAATGCGTCGGATTCAGAATCAAAGAGGTAGAAGGATATGTGCTTTGAGTCAGGAGCATTTTCTTACATCACCCATTTAGACTAATGTTTGAGTTTTTAACAAACGGGAAGTGAAGTAGTTTTTTTGGAAAGTTTGAGATGAGGGGGTCTCTGGTTTTGATTGATGTCGAGGGAAGTGTGTGGCTTGGATGAGGAACAGAAATTTCGAGGCTGGATCGAGTCTTATTTATACACGAGGATCACCAGGCCGAGCTGGTATGCTCTTCTCTCAGCCACGAGCCCTGGTAGAGAGTAGCTTTTGCCCTTGGCTGAGAGATGAAGCCTGAGCAGGAATATTGTGACATAATTCTACATGAGTGCCCTCGCGCTGGTTGATTGGATGAGGGCCAGAGTCTGAGAGATGTGCATAAAATAGCCGATATTACACCACACAACTGCTTTCAATTGTACCGCCCAGAAACCTGAGCTGCTGTAGCCTAAGTAAACGTCTTGTGTTTGATGTCATGATTTGAACCCTGATCGAGTGCAGTGCTTGCCCTTGCCTGGGTGAGTGATCCTGAGTAGGATTATTTCTTGCGGCAGAAATTGCGCTAAATTAGTGCCCTCGCCCTTGTTGGTTAGAGAAAACTGATAGCTGCATTTAAAAGAGCCATTATACCGCACGCACATTAATTCTGAATTTATCGCCGATGCCTCCACTATATTATCGTAGGTAATTATCGGTTGTTTGGTTTGATTTGACTTGACTCAGTGCACGTTGTGGACAGAGATTTATATTTCACGGAATGTATTCCTCAGCTTCGTGACCCAGTAATCTCAAGCCATGCGATAGCGTCGGATTGGTAGCCCTTGAGCTCCAAGTCATCCTGACCTGTGACGGTTGACGGAATGGTGGACAGAAAAGCGTCTTAAACGGCAATTTCTCCTAACTTGGCTCAGTGTGGTATCTGAAATGATGAACCGAGCGTCACAAGACTCAAATCAGGCATTAGATTCATAAACCATAACACATTCACTATAAGCTGCGTTGTGAGGGCAAGGCTCTTTAGTAACGTTCCTGGAATCAGTTTGTCGAATCGGGTGGCCTGAGGTGTTTCTTTGGCCGCTACCAAAAACATAAGACATCTTCTATCCACTTCTTTGCATTTTATTGCACATACTTGGTTAAACTCAACATTTACAAAGGCCAAACAAATGCTCATAGTGGTTCCAGCACGCAACCGTTCAGTCTCAAGAAACTCAAATCCATCTTTCTGAAACCTTGTCCCCTGGGTTATTTTTTTTTTGACATTATAAAAGATTCAACTAGTGTTTTTAATTTTTGCTTTTCTTTCTTTGTGTTGTGCCTTGACCTTGCTTGAGACTTTGAACTTGTTGAGGAGACTTGTTGCATGACTTTCAAAAAGAATAAGCAATCTAAGATTGCCTAATCAGGAGTTGCTCAATTGAACATTGAGCTATCTGCTCCATTTGCTTTCCCTGATGTTCTCCGGCATTACAATTTTGGGTGTACAAGAACTGAGGGCTTAGGAACTTTTTGTTGTGAGGCCATGTGACTCTTCCTCATCAGGCTAAATTCAGGTACAGGAGGACTATGGAAATAGGGGCTGCTCTTTAGGTCTATAAACCACTGGGGGGGATAATATTGAGAGAATATTTTTGAAGTGCATAGAATGCTGAGAGGAAGATGATGACTTTTTTCTTTCTCTGAAAGCCACATTGTGGAGAGAGCATCTGGAAGTGTTTTGATATTTTAGCTTTAGTCAAGATTAGGGCTGGCAAAATCAAATGCATGTTGTAATGAAAGCGTTGACTTTTCCTACATCATACATGCCCATTGTATTTATTGTTTTGAAATTCAAGGCACTTGAGAGACATTTCAGTGAATTACAATCAAGATTCTATTTGAAGGAGCCTGTTTTGTTTCTACAAGATTGAAAGACATGTGATGTCCAGATCTGGCTTCCATACAGCTAGACTTGGCATTAGAAAGTTCAATCATTACAACAGGTGAATCTGGGGCGGGTTTTCTCTTGTGTTTTGTGAGACTTTGGTCTCAAGCAAGATTCCTCCTATATTGTGCAAATGATTACAAAAGCATCAATGAAACAATGTGCCTTGTTTTTTGAATCCAAACTGTTTGTTCACATATAATGTTGATAGGTATGAGAAATGTTGTTGAGAGGGTTCTTCACTCTCTATTCCCCAGATATACACATTGAAAAGTCTTGGTTGAACAAGAAACCCAGCATCAACCAAAATCAATGACTTGGTACTTCTGATAACACCTGAAGATTTTTGAGCAGTACAAAGTAGCCATACTGTCTTGTAAAAATTAATTAAAATAGCAGGGAGAAGCCTTCAAAATTCTTGACAAATTATCTGCCCCCCAATGTAGGGGACTCTTGACTGAATTCAGTAATATTCTAGGGTTGAATTTACAAGCTTCCTGTGAGCTCTGTTTTTTTTAAAAAAAATATTGTGGTGATTTGATTACTTTGCTTTGTGATGTGTTTGGCTCTCTGAGGGTTTGTGACAAGCTACATCTGGATTTCCTAGCCATGATTCAAAGATCCATATCTGTCTGAATGTAGTTGTGTTATTAGTGATTCATTTTATATCTTATGCAGATTGAAATTATACAAAATGTCCTGCACTGTAGGTTATGTATGCTTTGAGGATTATATTTCTATCAAGTAAACCATCTCTGTCTGTACACTAGTCTTTTTGCCTCAATGCATAAAACATAAATCACAATCTTGATGAATTTCTGGCTGTTTGACAGTTTGCCTTCAACTCTGTCTCATGATCTTGAAATATCTGAAATTTTCCTTTGATATAACAAATCAAATGATCCAATATGTGAGATTTTATTGTGTAGAAACAAAGTATAATGTCATAGCAATGGTTATCCTGAGCTGTTTGAATGGAAGAGGAGGACCAGTTTTAATTTGATCCTGGTTTCAAATAATATGACAATAAATGTGTCAACAATAATCTGAAAATCCATTTGGGTGTTATTTTCACAAGCATACATCACCAATGTATTCAACATTGGCAATGCGTACTTAGCTCAATGGTCAGAGCATCACTCATGAATGCTTAGGTTGTGTGTTTGACTCTGAGTCCCACAGTACACAGCCTTTCTTTTTACTTTTTCAATATTGGGAAGGGTTTATGCAAGTGGTTCAACTTCCATGCCAATATCCATCTACAGTGTGAATCACCTCTTCTTGACTCCCCCGTCCCTCCAAAAAAGGACAAAGTTTGAGCTGCATCTTTAGATGTAATTTTGATACTACAAGGATGTGATATGAATCAAGAAATGCTACATCAAACACAGAACAAAAAAACATGTAGTAGATGGCAAGAAATTGCCTCTTACAGGTTAAAGTAATTTTTGAGGGCTTCCTACAGGTAAGCACTAAATATTATCTTGTTCTGTGTTTGATTTAGCATTTTTTGATGTGTATTACAGCCAAAACGAGAAAGCTTGTGGTCTTGGTTGGCAGAAAATTCAAAAAAAAAAACCAACTGCAGTCGGAACTCTTTGGAAGAATACAGAAAGTGTACAGGTTGTAAAATACCTGCTAGTAGCACCAACAGGGACCGACTAGCCAGCTTGACGGGCAAAAAGGGCATGGGTGACACTCAGGTCATGAGCTGGCAAGACTAAACTTCCCCTCTGGATTCCAATGGTCTTACTCTCATGACCTGGAAATGAGGTAGAAAAAAGATAGGGACTTTACACTCAGGTAACTGCTGTATTTGAATAGGCATACAGGGTGCTGTAATCTTCCAAAGATTCCGACTACAGTTGGTATTTTTTTTTTTTTAAATCTTTTGCCAACGGAGACCACAAGCTTTCTTGGTTTGGCTGTACATACTTGTACAGTGAGAATTACATCTAAACATGTGGCTCAAAGTTTTTTTTTTGCAGGGCCAGGGTAGTTGGGAAGAGGTGATGTGCACTGTATAAATTGAGTTTCTTTTTTTCAATTTTATGATTTAATTTTGAACACCAATACTTTAACCCTGCTCAAAACTTCTTTTTTTTTTGGGGGGGGGGGGAAGGTATCAAGTGATTCTTTGACATTCTTAAGGTGGTGTGAATCTAAAAACAAAAGGTGAATATCAAACTAATGAAGAGGTGAACCAATGTTTTTGAAGCTGTGTTATAACATCATACACTCAATAATTCCCCCCAACCCCATCAGTCCCTAATCTAGTAGGATCAATATACTCAGCCCTGCATTTGATGATAGTTGTATAGGAAACTTCCAGCTAAATGTTTGCCTATAACAATAATCTCTCCTATTCATGAAATTTTAGACCCTATGCACCCATGAAAATCACAACAGCCTTCCTTTCTGGAATGGTTGCAGAGAAACCTGAAGTGTCCATATCCTTTTCTTTTGAAGAGTCATATTTCTTGGGGTTCCTGTTCTGTTTGATTATATTACTGCAGCCCATCATTTCACCATGTATCATAGCTGGAAACCCAAGTGGAAGACCATCAACTGGGTGCATATTTATGCAATTGATTATCTGACTTTTACTAGTCACACTCAGAAGTCCAAGGGAATGTAAGTTTGTACATACAGACAGATTCCAAAAGCTACTTTCCAAAAACCAAGTGTTTTATGGGGAGGATGCTCAGACTTTTGAAATTAGTTCTGTTGATGTTCAGGGCATCCATGATGGTCTTGGAACTGCTTAAGAGAGGGAGACAGGTTAGTGGAAGTCTCAGGTGGAACTTGGACTATGTAGATGGGAACTGGAGTGAGCACAACTCAAATCAGGAGTAGAAACATTAATGAGGCTTTGATCCCCTCCAAGGACATTTTTCCCACATGGTATCAATGATGAACATTTGCAAAGGTATATGTTCCAAATTTTCGAATGAGGTGTGAGAGTTCATGATATTTTTGCAAGATGATATGTTTCTGATTAAGATTGGGGGATTTGAAGGTCGTGGTTGGTTGATTGTGAAAGCCAGGCTGTTTCTGTAAGGCTTTTATTGCGATCTTGTCTTGAAAGGGAAATGAATGGAAAGGTGGCTAAGGTAGATTAGTGCAAGTACATACGTATTTTGGTGTATCTTTGGTGATGGGAGTACATATGGTCGATTGTGTTGTGGGTGTGGTTAGATTAGGTAATCAGGTGGGTGTTGCCCTAATATCCGAAATTGGCTTAAAAAGCAAAAACTTTCCAAAAAAAAAGAAAAGATAAAGCTGCAGCAGTCTATCACCAATACCCTTTCTTCCCCCTCATCTGCAAGAAACTTGGTTCTTCTTCAAAATCAAAAATCAAAAAACAAGAGATGAACCACCATCAGCAGCAGCAGCAGCCTACTACTACTACTACCAGCCGAACACTCCGAATACCCTCACTCACCACCACTCGACCCATCTCACTCAACACCACCAACAACACCCTCACCATCATCCCCCCATCATTCAACTCATTCAACAATGGACACTCCATCGCCACACTCATCAGAGAGAAACGAAGACAACAACAACAACAACAAGCTCAAACTAACTCATCTACTACATCATCACCCATCGACCGAAACAGCAATATCCCACTTCCCTCATCATCACAAGAGAGAAGACCCAGGAGTAGGCGACAGACGAGGATCGGACCACTAGCCGACCTACACATGACCAGCAGATTCGACACCCTCACCCCACTCTCACTCACCACCACCACAACAGCAACAACAACATCCACACTAACATCCTCATCTTCACCAGCATCGCCATCAGCATCTGACCAAACTCACTCCAGGCATAATCCACCCAGCTTCATCAATCTGTTCACAAACCAATGTCATCCACTAGAACCTTCAGATCCAAGACTAGCCGAAGTGGTCATGACCCCTACAACAGAAGTAAGCTCCCAAAACACATCCTCTCAGTTCTATCCTCATCTTCTCACTTTCTTTTTCTTCTTTCTCTCCCAGGAATGGTGGGCTTTCGGTGGCCTCCCTCATAAGAGTCGCAAAAAAACTAGCTTGGATAACACGATCAGCGCTACGTCGATGACCCCAACTCAAACTAAGAATAGAGGACGAGAAGATGAGGAAGATGATGAAGAGGAAGACGAAGAAGATGACCAAGCCGACGACGACTCTGATCACACCGGTGCTAGTAGCAATGACTCTGACCGATCCCCAAGCTCATTCAATCACCATCACAGTCCCCAACTAGAGTCCTCATCCTCAATCACCACACCCGATAATAATCTCGAAACTTCTAACCATCATCATCATCCCAAACAGCAACAACAGCACTCCTCATCTCCAACTCCTTCTATTAACCGAATCACACCCTTGAATATCTGTCCGGACATCACACCCTCCTCTACCCCTAATTCCCCCAAGAATCTCATCTCTCCACTCTCCTCACCACTCGAGTTCTCCGCCGGTTTGATCTCCACCGAGGCTGAGCCCACCCTTCCCCTACCCACCCTAACCTCAGTCAATGGGATTATCAACGTCCCCTCCAGCCCGGTCGCTGAGACCTCACTGTCTCACAAACCCGAATCTCATCACTTCTTCCCCACCCTGACTGCCATGTCATCCTACTCCGTCGGTTCACCCTCCGAGCCTTCCACCGAACCTCTCACTTCCACCGCCCTTCTCTCATCACTTCTTGACAAGGCTCCCCCATCAACCTCCTCTCGACCCTGCTCACTGGCTCACGATGGAATCGTTCGAAAGACCATCGACCCTCGCTCTTATTCGGCCTTGACTGCTCATCGTAACCTGGACTCGTTTGTCATCCATTCCTCCGCTGGCTCGGGTGCATATGGGATCGTCAAACATGCACAAGAGAAAGGAGCGGATGGACAGCCCGTCGGACCGCCCCTGGTGATCAAATACATCATCAAACAACGCATCCTGGCCGACTGTTGGAAGCGTCATAAAGTCTTAGGCCCGGTCCCCATCGAAATTCACGTCTTGGATCATATCAGGAGAGTCAACTATCGTCCATCCATCATAGCCATGGCCACCCAATACATGGAAGCCAGGAAGTCAAAGGGCGAGAAGGCCTCGGTCGAAACGATCCCCAATCGGGCCGATCTCATCCAACTTTGTGCCAAGGAGACCACTCTTGCTCCATCACAAACTCAGCAACGCACCGGACATCCCAACATCTGTGGAATCCTCGACTACTTTGAAGATTCGGATTACTACTATCTGGTCATGCCTCGATTTGGGGATGGGAAAGACTTGTTCGAGCATATCGAGCTCTCGCCCGATGGATTACCCACCGATGAGGCCCGGAGGATCTTTGGCCAGATCGTCGATGGCGTCGCTTTCTTGCACGAGCGTAATATCGTCCATCGTGATCTGAAGGATGAGAATGTGATACTCGATCGGAATGGGAATGCTCAACTGATCGATTTCGGAAGTGCTGCTTATGTCAGGGAGGGTAGCAAATTCGAGACGTTTTCGGGTACACTAGAGTGAGTCCACCACACACTAGAGCTGATGAGTTGGAGATGGTTGTTGACGATAAGAATGATGTGATCAAAAAAAACAAAAAAAGTTTTGCAGCTCCCGAGGTCCTTAAAGGAGTCCCACACGGAGGAAAAGAAATCGATGTGTGGGCATTAGGGGTGATTTTATTTGTGCTGATCACCGGAGAATGTCCGTTTTGGAACCCAGAAGAAGCCGCCCAGGGGATCGGAGAAGGAAGTCGAGCGCGGACGAAGTTAGAAAGCCATCTGTCGAAGAAACGTCACGCCAAGGCTGGCGATGATGATCTTGAAAGCCGAAGTGAGGATGATGATGATGAGAATGGATCGGTATTAGATCTGTTGAAGCATTGTTTGCATCTCGAGGCCCAGGCCAGACCCTCTGTTGAGCACATCTGTTGGCACAAGTTCTTTCTTCCCTCTGCTGGCTGGTCTGGCCCCTCGATCCCCTCGATCGCGGAGCCTTCCCTCCCCCCTCCCGTCGTCTGATCTCCCTACTATTCGTCACCCCTCTCCACGTCGATCTCCCTTTCTTTCCCGCCTCTAATCTTTTGGGTGACTTTTTTTTTTCTTTTTCTCTTCATATATCCCTTCCCATTCCTCGTACTCGGTACTATGTATCTCTCTCTCTCTCTCGCAAACGCAACACATGATAAAGAATGTCTTGCAATTTTTTCCGTTCCTTCTTCTTCTTCTTCTTTACATATACAAAAAACTTGATCTGTTTTTGATTTAATTTTCTCGTCTTTTTTTTTTCTTCTTCTATCAGAATACAAAGAAAAAAATTCATGATTTTTTTGAAAAGAAATCTCCTTTTTTTTCTTCAATTTCTTCTACTTTTTTTCTTTCTTTCTAAAAAAATACACAAATAAGTTCTCTGCATACATGATCACCAAAAGAGAAAGAAGACTTGACTTCAATCCGATAGACACCACATAAATAAGCTCTATAAATCCACACATATAAACAAATGATACATGTTTGCAGCTCAATCTTGCTTGATTTTTTTCCCTTCTTTCTTTCTTTCTTTCTCTGTTTCTTTTTCTATGTGTACATAATTAATAATGCTTGATCTTTGGTTGAAGGGTTGTCTTTGTATGTGTATATGTGTGTCAATAACATCATTATGTATGTACAAAATTTGATTCAAAGAGGGAGAGGTGTTAAGCTTGGTTGATGGTCTACCACACACACACCCAAAAAACCTCCTAACAAAGTGTGATTTTGTTCTTTACCTTGGAGGCTTGGGCAATGTATTCTTTGATTGAACTATCTCTACTTGATAATTATGGCTTCCACCTTCTACCTGGTACACAGATCCAGATTCCAGACTCCACTTTTTGTGAGATTTTCTATGGTGAATTTATAGGATTAGCCTCCAGGTCTTCTGCTCTTGCTCACATCTTCACTCTAAAGCCAGACCCCCCAATTCCCAACCACATACCCATCTAACAGCATCAACTCCTATTCCACACACTCGTTCTGGTCCACCGTAGTTGGTGCAGGCCAAATTTGTACGATTTGGCAGAAAACCAAATGACAACATACCACATACTCTTTTGGAGAAAAGAAATAGGGTGTCTTCTCTGCACTAAGCGCATTTTAGATGTCTGGTAAAAATAGTGGACAGTTAACATGCTTCTCCAAAAACTAGATAGATCAGATCATCCACCAACCACTTTTAACCAAACATCTTGATTGTTTTTACAGCTATTGAAAGCAAGTTTGGCCTGCATTCATTTTTTTGTGTTGTAAATACACTCTACATACTTGTCTTGTCAACTGAATACTTTCAAAGAGTTGATTGGCCTAATTGTTCCCGCCAATTGGATGTTAGTTCTGAATCTACTTGACCCAGAGGCCAAGAACAATGTTGTCACAAATTAAAGTGTGGACAATTGAAGAGATCTTTGACTTGGTTCAAGCACAAGAGCACAATGAAAAAAAGACAATTCCAAAGATGACCAAGAAATTTTGAATTTCAGACCATCAAAAAAAAATAAAAAATGAAAAGCATACTTTGTAAAGCTCATTCCCACTAACTAGCTGGTCTGAATAAGTTATAACCTTTTCTTGTTTACTACCTAATCTGCTATGAGAACATTAATAAAAAAACACCATCAAACCATATACACAATCCTATGTGGTTTGAAAAGCTTAAAAGGGAATACCTATGCACTTGTACCGACGCTGGGCCGCTACACTACACTACACTACACTAAACAGCCCACTAAGATTAGCGTAGCAGCCCTCAAAACTGAAAGCCAAACCTGTAGTGTTAGTATGCTGTTAGTGCCACTACGCTACACTACTGCGCTTTTTAGCGGCAAGAAAGGTCCCAAAACCGCTAAAATGTGCTGTAGCGCAGCATGGTACGCCCTTTTTTGCCGCCCACACGTGTAGCGTTAGTGCAGCTTTGCATATCTGCACTAACACTACACTAAAATGTAGCATATTTTTGCTACACTACGCTAGACTAAAGCTACGGTTAGCGTTGCTTGTACAGAAAGTTTTTAGCACAACATGACCCCTGTAACTGCATAACAAATCTTTGACACAGAGGGGTATATATATATGTTCATCTAACCCCCTCCCCCCCCCCCCATTTCTCATGTAAAGAAGGGGTGTATTGAAGTTTGATTCAAAAGCAAAAAGCAAATATTGTAACATCTGGGGGTACGGGTAGACTGAAAGGAAGCTGATTAAGATCACAAGTAAAAATGACAATTTGCATATTGGTCTGTCAACTTGATTTCTGCATATATTTTTAGGATGTTCATTGTGTGGGGGGTGTAAGGAAATATATCCTGTGTGTTGCGTTGTAGGGAGAGAGAAAGAGAAAGAGAGAAACACTTTGCACCATTCAAGCATTGGTGAGTGCTGAAGCAGTGAGATAGAGTTAGGCTGCTAGATTGCTATTAGCACTGACAATTGAAAAGCACATGCTCGGTTGGCGTCTGAGTGAATTGTAGGTCCACCATCCTTGTAAGGCAACCCGGTCAGCGTAACTTTTTGGATCACAGTTTCGTCATCTTACACCCCTCAACCACTAGCCTAAATGGTGAAGCTGGTGAGATGAACTCAAGATACCCCCGACGACCTGGTAGAATGAAACTTCCCACCGTTGCTCAATCCCCCAAGGACCAGTGTTGTTTCTAGCCAAGATTAATGGGCTTATGACAATGTGAATGAAGGAGCCCCTCAAGCTTTATAAAACTTGTGACCTATAGCTGCCTGGCCGTCACATCGCAAGGGCCCCCTTGACACCCGGTGTCGAGTGGAGTGATGATACATTTTGTACTCGGATCGTTCAAATGCATTACAGCCTGAAACCAACTCAAGCAGGTGTTCTCTCTCCGGGTTTTGAACACTTGCGTCACACTCAAGTGGACAGTTGCACTTAAGTATTTAAAATCATCTTGATGTTCGAGCCTGTCCGATCGTCGACACGTTGAAACTGGTGTATGTAAGGTTGCTCAACAGATCCGTCACGCTGACGGTCTCCAAGGCAGGACAAAGGAAAGGGGAAGCTATCAAGTTCTTTGTTTGATCTGTTTTTCTCAAGTGCTTCCGTTTGACCCTCACACTGAATATAAAAGAGCCCAAGCACTCCACCGAACCATTCTTCTTCCAACTGCCGACTCACATACTCCCTTAGCCACACTGACTGCATAACATCATAGTCCTACCCGCACTTTCCAGGAAAGTCGAATTTTACTCTGATCAAAGAGTAGTGACGTAGGAACTTCTTGCATCTTTCGCCCGTGGATATGTCGTGCATTCTGGGACGCCGTGCCTTTTTTGGGCTTCTTTTCTACTGTTCACTGGTCTGGTTGAACTATGCAGCTCCTTGGCCAGATCAAACCCAGCACCGGGTGCTGGTAGGAACAGCGGTCGACAGAAACTTTTTGAAGCAACCGGATTACGCGCAAACGGTCAAAAAGTATTTCAAGCTCATAACTGCTCAAAATGGTAAGCCCTCCACTCAGCCACAACTCTTTTGATAAACAGTCTCTCGGTAAATCTCGTGGGTTAATGCGTATCATGTTATAGAGATGAAATGGCAGTCACTGCAGGCCTGGCCAGGCGATAGTGGATTTACATGGGACGCGGCGTTCGTTTTTCTCATTGCTTTTCTTTCGTAGTATGTCTGTCTGTTTTATGAAGCATACCTAATGCTGAATCGATTTCCTACAGTGATGAGATATACAGCTTTGTTCAGAACAACAACAAATTACTTCGGATACATACTCTATTTGCGTGCGTATCTCGTCAAATTTTCTAGCAAAAAATCCGACAATTTAGAGCTAATGCTGGTGTGTCCTGACCTGCTTGTTCAAAGTCAAGGACAATATCCGACATGGGTTGAATCTATGTCGCCACAAGACTTAAGGAATGCTATGGGCAAAGTCATCTTCAATGTAATTCAGCGGTATTATGATCGGACAATCGCAATAGATGTTTGCAATGAGATCTTCAATGATCAAGATGGCAAGATGCGAGATAATACGGTTTGGTTCCGCAAGTTAAATGAGGACTTTGTCAATTTTGCATATTACACTGCTAGGCAAGCGGGCCTGTTATATAACCCCAAACTGCTGCTCTATTGTAATTATTTTTTCCTCCATTATATTTCTGTCCATTTGATATTTTCTTGCAGGATTTATGCTCACATTGTTTCTGGGCTGATCCTACTTGGATTTTTTTTAGTAAATGATTATGGGATTGAAGGTCCAGGCCCAAAGGCAGATGCAATTCTTCACAAAGCTATCGAGCTTAAGGGAAGAGGAATTCTGGATGCTGTAGGATTCCAATGCCATTTTTCTGTAGGAAAGGTTCCACAAGGTAAGTACCACAATACCATTTTTCATTTTATTTTCAATAGAAGGCTCATGCTAACTACAAATGTTACTGGGAACAACCATTTTTTTTTCATTCAGGAATGAAGGAGAACATGAAACGTTTTACGGATGCAGGTATGAGATGTTTTCCTGGCTTGATGTAACTGGAATGTTTACTCACTTGGGAGAATTATTATTCTGATCAACCCACCAATCTGCAATCACAGGTTTGAAGATAGCAATCACTGAACTGGATATTGCAATTGAAAATGTAGCTGCCAATGGAGCATCCCAAGCAGTGCTAGAACAACAAGCCCAGGATTTCAAGCATGTTTTTGACATATGTCAGCAGCTGGATGGGTGTATATCTGTAACAGTCTGGGGAGTAAGTCCTGCAGACTCTTGGATTGGCAAGAATGATTTTGCACCAGGTAATTAAGTCATTTCAAGATTCTCTTCAGATTGTAATCCTGGTGTTGACTCAAGCAATTTTTTTAGGTTCTGGGAAAGCTGTACTATTTGATGAGGGATATAAGCCTAGTCTTGCATTACAGCAACTCCCACAAGCTCTGTTTGAGAATGGGAATTAGTAGATTGGGAATCCATTGTAGATAGCTGTATGGGTTCCAAGTATATTGCACCACACCATGAATGCAAATCTTCAGATCACTTATTTTGAATTCAATCTGTTCTCTTCATTATCATTCCCCTTTGCCTTTCTTTGACATCATCTGTAAGTGTAAACCAAGCCTGTATAGTATGCAACAAAGCCATTCCTGTAGTATAGCCATGTGTAGAAACTTTGGAAAGAACTGAAGACTTATCACTCAAAATTATGAATGATCCATCCAATAGGAAGTCAAGTCCTTGTTTTTCAGCTTAGGATTTGCATTTGGCTTGCCATGATAACCCCCAAAAAAAAGGTTTCCAAATCTCTGGGAGAAATCTGTACCAGATTCTGGACATTGTAGAAATTTGGCGTCTTTTGAGGAACATGAAGGGAGAAGATAAATGTTTCATCTCTACCCAACAAGGTTAACCAAGAGCATTTACCAGAGTAGAAATATTTTATATAAAAATGGCATCAGGTGTAATGTTTGACAACTCTTTCTTTCTTGATAACCTCTTCAGGAAACATTCCAAACCATCAGTACATACTACATGTATGATGGACCATACAAGTAGATTTTGCCCTTTTTTGGAAAGCGTGGCTTGGTTGGACCCATTTTTTGTTATCATTACTGCACTCTGACTAGCCCAAGATTTTCTCAGAGTGAAGTGGATGTGATCAAACCTCAAACTCAAAGGCTAGGCCAATAAGCAACATCTTCAAAGCTTTGCAAAGGGAAATGTCTCTAGAAAAATCACATTTGATGGACTGACTTCCTTTCTATTTGGGTCATATGCATGAAAGATTTCTTCATTTTTGCCACACACCTGTGCAGATTGTAACCCAAAGACTCAAGATCACCATCAGATGAGTTTTACACTGTGCACATGAAGAGATTGTAACCAAGGAAAACTCTGGCTTGGGGGGCAGGAGGGTATGGCTAGTGTGGGTTGATATGGACTGCAAGCCCACTGCCCCAGGACTCATTACTCATTTCATGCAAAGGAGACTCTGGGGCATCTGTGTAGTACTAGGGGCATTTGTTCTATTTCGAAGCAAACAGAGGATCAGCTTTGTATTCAAAAATTTGCTTAGGGAGAGCGGAGATTTTTATCCTGTCATTCTCTCAGCTGGAATCATGCGAGACGTTCATTGCATTGACCCTTTAACAATTCAAGGTGTGATATGTGTTTGGTGAATTTAACTCCTGGTATAAGTCTATAGATTTACTGGAAAGGTCCAATTGAGATTAATAACGAAGAAATCGGATCAATTGCAACTGTTAACGACGTGGGTATTGATGGAGTTGGCGAGAGAAGAATGATGGAGGTTATTGTGAAAAGAAGTGGTAGCTGCTGAGCAGGATGATCCCAACAACAGTGCCGATTCCGATAGCTTTGAGAGATTCTTGATCTGAGCTAGTGTAGTCGTGGTTCTCTAACCATTCGTCCTTAGCTTGATTGAGCTTTTCATACCATGAGGGAGACCGTTGCGGCTGAGGAGACAATTGGGACTCTTCCGGTGCTGGGTCTTCTATTCCTGACCCCTCCTGCGTCGTCTGTTGTGAGCTCTTATTCTCCGAATCCATGAGTTCATCTCTCGGATCGGTCCTGGACCCCGAGATCGGGCTGGGTATCATATTTTCCACTTGAGTCACTTGTGGGAGGGTAGTGGTGGCAGGTACGATTGTCACTTGATTCTCGTCTTCTAATGTTGAGGATGGCAAAGCGGATGGCGATGTAGGTAGCTCAAGGGGGGCTTGTAGCGAAAGAATTAAATCTGAAAGCTGTTTCTCTGTCGAAGATAGTCGATCGACAACCGTATTCAGAGCCCGATCAAGAATGTCTGTGTTGTTCATGTCGCGCTTGACGATTCTGATGTGGATAGAAACAGAGAAGAAATGAAAAAAATCTGTTATGAGATATCAACAGTCAATATAGTGATTGCGGAAAATACGCACCTGTCTTCGACTTCAGAGACTACTTTCGATCTTTTGTAGGGTTCGACCAATACGATTGCTGCCAGGAAAACTAGAACGTTAATGAGAGTGATTGACAGTGAAAAAGTGGTTGACAAAGCTCGGATCTGTGAAGAATAAATCAATTCATCATGGAAAATTCAGCAGAAATCAAAATCAAGAAGGAAGGATGAAAGAGCAACCCACCTTATCAGACCAAACCTGTTCCTCATGATATCGAGTAAGGATTGCCTGCATCATGTCTACCAAAAAGAAGTTTGATTAGACCAGGACTAAGAAGATAGCGGGGTTTTTTTTTTCTTCAAAAAACTGACTCGTAAATTGATGATCCACCTTTGCTTCAGATTCTTCTAATCCTTTCTTGGCCTCCGATTCGGCCTGTTCGTTTGAATGATCTGTTCTGACTAAGGTCGTAAATCTTGCAAGGTCCTGATCTGACCTGAATGGACATGAAAAAAAATGTAAATCCAATTGAATTAAATCAAAAACATAACACTTTCTTTTTTTGAAAAAAAAAATATTGACCAGCTGGCTTTTCTTGCGAGTAGATCGTTAACTTCCTTGATGCTTTCGGCCCTCCTCTGAGCAGCTAGATTGTATTTGATCTTGGCTTGTACAGCATCCTCCCTACTAGCTCTGAGGTTAGCTTCGGTTTGAGAGACCAATGACTTGAGTTTATCAATGTCGCCATAACCGGTCAGTTGGGATAATTTGCTCGGGAAGTCGGCGAATTGATGGGATAGGCTGGTTTTGATTGATCTGAATTGCTGTTTGATCGGTTTCAAGTAGGCTGAATTGGATAGATGATTGATTGTTTTGGTTCTGTGAGCGTCTGAATGGCTGGTAGCACTCTTGAGTAGGTTATCTTGGGTGTGAGTAGTCGTTGAGGTTGATGGTATAGGTTCTGAGCTCGGCTGTTCAGGGTTAGTTGAGGCAGTCCTTCTGATGGTTAGGAGATGTGATGATGGCTTGATGGATTGTTTGAGTGAGTTGAAGATTATGGTTTGGTTGGTTAACATTTTCCTTTTTTTTTGGTTCCCTGGAGAATATGTAGCAGTGCCTGGCCAGAAAGAATGCTCAAGAAATGGGTCGGAAGACTGAGAAACCCTAACCCATCAACCATCTCAGACACAATGGACCACACTTAGAGCATGTTCCAATAAACTTAGCTCTCTGAATCTGATGGAGATGTATGGGTGGGAAGATGTTCCATGATAATGACTTGACTGATCTACATCACCAATCAGTCACAGCGACCCTGGATTGAATATTGCCAAAGCCTCAGGTACGAGGCAAATCTTTTGGGTGTTTCTTGAATTTGGTCTATCAGATTCAAGCCTACTTACAAAGAATCTGATCGAGTACGTTAAAATGGCATCACGCAGAAACAAAGAATCGATTTCATTGAGGGCAAAAAAAAAAAAGAGTTAATCGGATCTCTTTAACAGAGTAAAGATGGGATATCAACGCAAGCAAGCTGCATAGATTGTTTGTGTTAATTTGTGACTGAGAGGTTTCCTTTCTATAGACAAGACAAGATGATACAGATGAGAAACCGCAATTGTGTGCGCTGTTGAGTAAAGCACTCTCAGTTTTAGTTTACGTATTAAAAACACTTTCATCATCCCGCTCAACCCGTTCACGGCGGACTACCGCCTACATGTATCTCTGTATGACTACTGCCCCAAGCACACCTGCTTCTTTTATTGTCTGGTTGTCATCAGTTAAATCTCTAGACGGAAATGTCGTCTGCAAGGCGTAAGGCCGTGTAGCTAACGCCGGATTAGACCTGGATCCATTGCACGCAAGAAGAAAAGAAAGCAGGTTGAACGCACAACTAATTTAGAAGGGCCAACCTCTGAATGAATTTATTGGAAAAAGTGACTCACAATGCGATATGGCGCCGAATGTCACCAACGGTATGAGTATGGTTGAATCTGGTAACCATACGTGAGCCATCTGATAAACGAATCTGGACGCTAGTGACTGGTAGACTGTTATCCACCTCAAAGATCATCGAAGGCTGAGTTGAAGTCTGAGTAGTTACGGTCTGAGCAGCTTGTGATGATGGTTCAGCCGCGCGGACCATGTTAGCGGGCAGTGGACTACCGAGTCGGTTGCCAGTTCCTCCAAAGGGCTTTGATGGTGGTTTGGGTGGTGGAATATAATTCTCCGACAATCGCTTTTGTACTCGCATCGTCACTCGTTGATTCAATCGAACGCCCAACAAGTCAAGTGGAGCGCGCCTGTATTGATAACCAAAGAATGTTCAACACACAACTTGAACTTCAAGGCCACGTTGATAGGAGATGTACTCAAAGGAAAAGCTTGATTGGTTGATCAGCGTACCCACGATTAATAGCATCTAAGATCTCTTTATTCTTGGGATCGTCATAGCTCATTAAAGGGCCATCCTCGATCGAGAAACCGTCTTTCCAGAAAGTTAAATGCTTTTCGACTTCCTCCTCTTCCTCATCATTTTCATCATCATCGTCCTCGACGTCGCTACCAAAATGACCGGGTACAGGCAAAGCAGTGCGGAAGGCCTTTTGTCGAGCAGTCCCAGGGGCAGGTGGCGGTACGACCGGTCGCGAGGGTACCTGATCAGAACCCAACGTTTGCGCTGGCCGACAACAAAAGACCAATGTGGTCGGTTCAAGGTTGCATCGGTGAACAAGATACATCGGAAAACTGATCTGCTCAACATACCGGACCCCTGGAAAAACGGAGACTTGCTGGACGTAGCATTGGTGGCTGATAGTGGAGGGGCGCTACCAGCCCTAGAAAAATGTGCAAGGTAATAAATATGATTATCAACAACTTGAAAGCCAATGAAGTTGCTAACTCTTTTGCTTTCTTAAGGATATCGGCGACTATTCCTCCTGCCTTCCCGCTACTCTGTTGATTTGGATCTTGAACGTTTAGCCCACTCCTTCCACCTCCAGCATATAAATCAGCCGGTCCATCGTCCTCATCATCGTCATCCTCGCTCATATCACCACCACCTGACATCCCGGCAGCGGAGTTGATATCCTTGAGAGTTGAGATACCGCGCACTCGGGAAGAAGTAGAAGGGGCCGAGCTCCTAAGAAGGGCCGAAAGAGAAATGAGGAGGCTGGCCTAGTTTTCCAGGAAGGGGTTGAAGGCATGTCGACTCACCCGCTAAGATCACCAAATGTTTTTATGCCCCCCGAGCGAGGTGGCTGTCGGATAGACGACTTGTTAGAGCCACCCGATGGCCTCTTCCACTCAGCAGGCATTTCGTCGGCCGCTTCACCGGACAATGTTGTAGGTCCAGTTGGGGCGATTGGTGCCGTGGACACAGTCGGGGCAGTGGGAGCCTGAGTAGTACCGACGGTCTCAAAATAGGTCGATAAGGCGGTCTGGGTGAATAAAATGCTTCCGGCGTGTTAACATTCTTTCTTTTATTATAATCCTTTTGGGAGGTAAAGATAAAAAATGAGATGGATCAAATACATCTAAATTTCCGCCGGCAGAATCAACAAAGAATCGGGCTTGATCGGTACTACTTCCAGTGATGGAAACGAACTGGTTGACCACATCAGAAGCTTGATCTTGATCCATAGTTGAGACGGAAGATGCTGATGCTGATGAGATGATGGTCAAGAACGAATGAAGCAGTATGTAGACAAATGGTCAAGAGGTCAAGAGGAGAATAATCGGTCAGCATACTTCACAGAGCTGACGTAATTGATCGGATGTCACCCAGCCTGTCACGATATGTAGATGGTCAGTGACATATGTGGAGGCTTCACAGAGTCGAGCTGCCAAGATAAGCAGACCTCGCCTTTTAAGGGAGATTTGTTAGATTCATTTGTGATGCATAAACAGGAATAAACGATAAAGAACGATAAGGCCTGCTTCAGGTTTCTACTGCCATGTAGGGTGACCTACATACATAAATTTTTTTAGAACACAACAACAATTTTGATGAGATGTGCCAAAAAATATAGGCCAGCCACCATGATGACTGAATAACTTCCCATTGCAATCTACGACCCTCCCAGAGGTTGATTTACACCCCTTAGATCTAATTTTTTTTTATCAAAAAAATCTTTTTTTCTGAAGCCTTCTGGTAATAGTTCTCACATGAGCTGGTTGAAATCTTCATTGTGTTCTTAATTTAAGACTGAGAGGGGTCTAAAAAGGACTCTAAACCACGGCGGGAAGTCCTCCACTGCTTAGAATCAATTTGTAGCATATGTTTAGCCAACCACTTGCTGAATTTTGTCTGCGTCTTAAAAATTCACTCAATTTACTCACCTTATCTTTGAATTTCTTATTTTCATCTATTCTCAAACATACCTGATTACTCTTTGGTCTAATATCACGTTCTTTGAGCACGATTTGGGTAAACTAACAGGTACTGAGCCAAGCTCAAGCTTGTAAACATGGATAAAGAGAAATCCAATGGATGTTTTGTCTTTCCTGGCATACTCACTACTCCCACTTATAGCTCAAATCCAGGAGGATTGAATAAGGTAGAGAAATTATCCCAAGATCAACAGAAGCCATATGAATGAACCCCCATATGAAAATATGGAATTGACTACCTGAGGCTGGAGATTTCCTATGGGCAATCTACCAAAAGACTCAATAAAACAAAAATATTGGCAAGTATCCTTCTCTATCAACAAACCATCCATTTCTTACATTCTACATTCTTTGTCTGAGGCTTGAATCCAGGTGTATCAATATATTGCTTCTCTTCAATATGGCACTAGTGTTAAAATCATTGATCAGTGATTACAACAGTTACCCAGAATTAAGTGGCCATGAACCATGGTGAACTACATATCCCAGCACCTCAGGAAGTCTCTAGGGCTAGTGTTGAGATTCCTGTGACATGTCACTACTCATCTCATGTTCATGTTTGTTCCTGTGCTTCTTCAGATTTCATTTCCTTCATGTCACACTCTGTGACACTCGTTTGTTTTCATCTCAGCTCTTATACTGGAGACATCTGTGCTTGGGAGGATCTCCTCTTTCCTCATCCTTTCCAACACATGTCTCCAGGTATGTCTCCTTTTCTTTCTCCTCTGTTTCTCTCCTCTTCCTGTGATTGAAATGAACACCTTATCCTTTCCAACACATGTCTCCAGACCATCTTGGTGTTCATCTCAACAGCTAGTTGTGTTGAGGTGTCTGATACTAATAGTATGCTACCATAATGCATCACTACACCATGAACAATACAGCCTGGTTGTCAGAAATGGATCCTAGGGTGTTTCTCCACCAAAGATGAATTTCAATTTGGATAGATCTTTTCTGCCTATCCCAGAGACAATTTAGTTTTTTTGTTTCATGGTGACACAAAGATGAGAATAAAAATAAAGTCCTGTTGATCATTTTCTGAAAAAAGGTATGACTATGTACACTTCCATGTACCCATTTCCATCAATGTACTCATAGATGAACAGCTACACACATCTATTAGGAACCCAAGTTGCACATTCTACAAGCTGGAAACCCCATGGTTCAATCCCCATATGAGGTGGAGATATGATTTTTTTTCATACAAGGATCAAGAAACCCCAGAATCTGAACATCTGGGCAAAGAATTATGGGCCTGATTCCCTATTTTTTGGTTAAAGATGAAGTTCTTTTCCAAATTGAAATCATGAGATTTGGGAAAGTGGTTTGCAAGGGGTTTCCATAATTTATTATGAAGAGAAAAATATGAAAAATGATTTAAAAAATTTGCAAAAAAATATGAGTATTGCACTTTTTTTGGAAGTTTCAATATTTCCCTGAATGATAAAGTAAAATTTTTAATAAACAGTATTGAATTCAAGAAGAAGAATAATAAATTAAGAAATTCAAAGCCAGGAATCACTCAGAGCTCAGTATCCAAGTCAAAATTCAATTGGGATTTGATCACACTGTCTTTTCCACCATGGGTCTGATGAATGCCTCACTCCACACCAGTTTAAAGCCATCTGGTATTTTTTTCTATAGAATTTTCATTTATTAACATTCCTCCTGTTGTAGACCAGTGTACAAACTCCACATTTGGAGCACTGGGGAGTCAAGAGGAGGAGGCAAGGGAGTAATGATAACCACAAGCATCCAAGCCACAACAGATTAAGAGTAGACTGCTCTACCCGACTAGCCTTTTATGGTACACACTCGACGATCGACAAAAGACATCTTATTCGGCCCACTACCTCCTCCAACTCGTCGGTACAAGCCAGTTACCATCCTTGAACGAAGGCGAAAACTAGAATTCCGCAGATTATCAAAACTTCCCCCTCTACCGTTATCCCCTCCACCGACCCCGCCAGACACCTATCCTCAAAATAATTGGCAACCACCGCAGATCAGTGAACTGATTGAGAATCTAGGCAACTTTAGCTTATCAGACTTAGACCCGACTGGATCCAACCCTCCACGACACACACCTCCCGGTGTTCAAACATACAACAACCGACCACCCTCCCCTTTCCTATCTCCTATATCATACATATTCTCTCAATTCCTCACCCGCCATTCCACAGAGCTCCACCCTGTCATTCGTCAATCAACCCCAACCGATCGACATACCCAAATGTCTCAA